TACCTCAATTATGTATTTAACATCATTAAAGTTCTTCAGAGCCAGCGCCATGATCGCCAACTGCTCGGGCGTGCTGAGCATCTTTGGTATAATGGAGCGTTCCACTGACTGCGTCACGGAGTTCTGCAACTCGTCGTTGCCTGCACTTTCGTTCAGCAGCAGCTGCTGGGCACGAGCGCGACACTGTTCAAGAGTCGGCGTCTCAGATAATCTGCCACCAGCTGCTCCACTAAAACTGGCCGCTCGTTTCTGCCGGCGCGACTTTCGTCTTGTTAGGCTGGATGCGTGAAAGATGCGCTCCCTGCTCTCATCATCACTGGATGCCTTCTCACGTAAGTGACTATGCAATTGAATCAGCTGCAACATCTGTTCAGGCTCAAAGCGGCAGCCTGAAGCCGGCGTTGCTTTCGCCAATGATTGATCAATCTTTTGTAGAACGCTGAACTTCCAGAGCGCCTCACTGATGGCATCCACTAAGCGCTGAAAGCGCTGCTGTTGCTCCTCTGAGGCGTACTTGAAGTCCTGAGTGTGCAACTTCTTAGTCACAAATCCTTTCAGATAGCTAAACAATGCGTACAAAGCCGGACCCCGGCAAATGAAGCCGTAGCGTCGCCTTTGCGCATTGCTGATATAAGACGAGTGTGCAGGTGTCGCATCATCGTCCACATACTGCTCATCATCGTTATCCTCATCATCGTTATCGTCGTACTGAGATTGCTTTGTATTTTGCAGCTGTTCCCAGCGCAAGAAAACGAGTTGGAATACGTCCTCTAGTAGAGAGGAAAGTGTAACCAATTCACGTAGCTGACGCAGCTGGGTGGAGAGCAACAACAACTGGCCTCTCACCGAGGAGTCGTGTGACTCCAATATCACATTGTAGACATGACATAGGGCTGTATAATAGCTCCATGTTTCCAGCTCCTCAGTACGTACGTTCTTGAGTGCTGGTGTCTGCTGTTGCCATTTGTAGGATTGCTCAATGAGCTGAAACACTTGCTCCTTATCACACTCGATGCCATGTTCGTAGATCAAAGAAAGCACGCCCGGTGCCCGAAGCAGTGCGTCCACCTTGATTATCTTGAAGGCATTTCCATCTTGTTGCTGCTTCAAAAACTTGAGTATCACGCAAATTCGTTGGAAGTCTGCAAAGAAGAACTGGTGCACTGGCTGCAGCTCAACGGGCACTGCAGCTACGTCAAAGGCGGCTAGAGGTTGATCCAACTCAGCCAACTCGTCCAACGTCTGCGAGCTCAGGGCAAATTCGTTGGCTAGTCGCAAAATTAGAAGAGTATTTCGTAATGTCCGATCATGAATACATTCAAAATTCTTCAACTGTTGACACACCCTAGGTACAAAGTGCTCTCGTTGTTTGAGAGCCAGATGTAACACCAACTGACTTGTAGGCGCTGAGTTGGTGCACTCAATTTCCAGATGTTGCTGTTGCTTGTGCAAAACTGTGTTTAATAAGTGCGGATCTTGTCGAGCCAATAATGCCAGCATTAGATACTCATTGTTGCACAAGGCATTATTCACAAGATGTGCGATCAGACTTTGTTCTAATTGTGTCGCCTCCAGTATCTGTTGCGGAACGTTTGCCAGTACGCTGAGGAAGCGAGTCCAGGGGGGAGTTGTGGAGAAAGTGTCATTACCATCCAGCATATCTTTCAACGCCCCACTAACAATGCGTCCTATGTAGAACTTGGACTGATTATATAGCAAGCTCAAAATTTGGAGTACTGGATATGGAGATTTCACTAGGAGAGTCTGGCAGTGCTCGAGATGTAATTGAGCACCACTTCCCCCAAAACTTTTGATGAAGGACTGCAAAGACCCGAATGATTATTATACAAGAAAAACGATAAATTGTTCTGCGCAATTGTACCTGTATCACTTCTTCCTCTTCCCTGAGTAGCAGCTCAATTAGCTGCTGCAGCTCTGTTTGCTGCTGATGTGACATTGTAAACACCTGTTGATTGATATTTTACTAGAGCCGATTTGATGTATTTAAGGCTACGCGTTTAATAGAGTTCATTGCACACTGGCGACCGTCTACTGCAAGCTACTAAGTACATCTGTCAACGAATCATTCATTTGCTGATTGTATCTGCCTATTGTTCGATGAGCCACTTTTGTTTTTGTTACACCAGCAGCTGTTGCCCTGTTGTTGTTGTTGCTATTGTTACTGGGGGTGAGATGTTGATTTTCACTGGCGGTACCATAACAACAAGTGATAAGCGACGCCTGCATATTATTACCGTGGTCAGCGCTGATTCAATAAAGCGCTGCTTAGAGCGCTCAATAACAGCGGAGAGCGATAAACACTCAATATATGTATATTCGCACAAACACCAACAGTTAATATTATGAACATTGAACAACTGTTTGCAATTAACACAATGAGCCGACAATTGGCCATTCACACAAAATGATGAAATGAAATAATTTTTTGAACTTTAGCATATCTTCCAATTGGAAAATGGTTGCAGTAATTCAAAGACACTATAATATTCACAAGGCAGGCAGCTTAAACTCTCCTGTTTGAAGCTCAAAAGTCGTAGTAAATTTAAAATATATTGTAACATTTTGAGCCATAGTAGACTGTCAATGTATATCTCTTTGGTTGTACAATTGTCTATTTTATTTAAATAAAGAAACTTGGAAATAATTTAAAGTCAATGTGAATTAGTTTAACCACTATTTGTAAATGTACTTAAATAAACAAATGAGCCATATACAAGAAAATAAATTTGATTTTTATTTATGTACTTGCGATGAGCAGATACCCACAGATAAATCGATAAGTGTCAGAGTTCGCGCCTTTATTCAAATTACTAGCCAGACATCTCTGTGCACACAAACGGGCCTATAATTGGATTAGTCTGTGGCGGTTTACTTTCAGTCTTCTCTGTGAGTTTAGCCAACTACTTAGTTGTATTTCATCATATCAGGGTACTAACACAACATGGGAGTGCATTTTCAAAGTAAGTCTGTTTTTGATTTATCTGTGGATTTAGTTTTATAAACAAATCTTTTATTATAGAACTGCTTTGTGTTGGCGCCATCGTCATTGGTTTTTTTGCGGCATTGTTGATTCTTGTTTGTAAATTGCATGAAGACAACATACCTAATGTATTAAAACTTGAGAACAGAGAACTTGTCTTTGATTATGTTATTGGTAAGTGGTAAGTGATGTCACCGCTATACTAGATTCATTTTGGAATATTCACTCTTCTAGTTGGAGCTGGTACGGCTGGTTCTACTCTTAGCTCTCTACTGGCCAAGCACAGCAATGGAAGTATATTGCTTATTGAGGCTGGTGGCTCTTTTGGCTATTTCAGTCGGATTCCTCTGCTAGCCACATTTCAACAAAAAGGCATTAATGACTGGTCTTTTCTCTCGGTGCCCCAGAAGTACTCGTCCAAGGGCTTGATTGAGAAACGTCAGTGTCTGCCAAGAGGCAAGGGCTTGGGTGGATCAGCTAATCTCAACTATATGCTACATTTCGATGGTCATGCTCCCGACTTTGACTCGTGGCATAAACTGCACAACGTTAGCGATTGGAGTTGGAATGACGTGAGTCCTTTTATTACTGCCGCTAAGCCCAAGAAGGAGGAGCTTTATGAAATACCACGTAGTTACTCCCTGTTATCGGAAGCTCTAGACGAATCAGCTGCAGAATTTATGCACGAGCCTTGGCAATTTCGACGGTCTATTTACAATATCAGGAACGGATTAAGGCATTCGGTGCTGCAACAATTTCTCTTGCCCATGATCAACAGCGTGAATCTTCGTGTGCTGCCCCAGGCACTAGTCAAGCGTATAAACCTATCCTCGAGCTCCAATCTAAGAGCCAGTTCCGTTGTAGTAGGTATTAAGGATGAGCAGAATAAGGAGATCGAGTTTAACATCAAAGTACGGCGTGAGTTGTTGCTCTGTGCAGGTGCCTACCAAAGTCCGCAACTGCTTCTGGCCTCTGGAATCGGTGACACCAAACTGTTGAAGGAGGTGGGACTGCCTGTGCAATATCATTTGCCACTGGTGGGTCAGGCTCTGCATGATCATTTGAATGTGCCTCTGTTCGTCTCAATAGACATTATCGGACCTACGCTGAATCAGCGAACGCTGCTTAATCCAATGAACCTGTTTAAATATTTAAATACGGGCACTGGGGCCTTCGGAAATTTTGGAGTGCTCGGACATGTAGCTGGTTACGAGGAGCCGATGCCCTTTGGCATCACCTTCTTTGGCGCTGGCGCCATAGATGAAAGTGCACTCATGTCTATTTCAAATTTCAAGCGTTCAGCATTTCGGGCGCTTTTCCCACGCTACCATAATGCTTCCCAGGAAGGATTCGTTGTCATATCCAGTTGCTTGCAACCGAGATCTAGGGGCTCTGTTTCATTGCTTCATAAAACAATGCGTAGAAATCCTCTAATTGATCCCAACTATTTAAGCGACGAGCAGGATGTGGCCTGTACTATAGCCGCCATAAGAAATGCTGTGAAGGTAACTGCTACACTGTTACAAGTTACAAATTCGAATCTGCTAACAAATACAGTATATTTTATAGATTGTCACATCGTCCGCTTTTAGCAAATTGCGACCGCATATTCATTGGCCCAAACTACAGGAGTGCGCTAATTTTGGACCGTTCAAAAGAGATTTCTTTGAGCACCAACCTTCGGATAATTATCTAGAATGTCTTATGCGCCATATAGGACTGGGCTCACACCATCCGGCTGGGAGTTGTGCTCTAGGCAATGTCGTTGACTCACAGTTAAGGTAGATTCTTTTACATCGAATTCTCTAACAGATCTAAATCTTACTATCAATGAAACCAGATTGCATGGTATACCTAACGTGCGAATTGTCGATGCTAGTGTGCTGCCTCGGCCCGTTTCGGGAAATCCAAATACTGTTATTGCAGCTATTGCCATGCGAGCAGCATCGTGGATACTAAAGGACGAGTTGCAAAATAATTAATATTAGAAAATATCATATGATATTAAAATTAATTAATTTATTAAATATGCGGTAGTTCTGGTTACAGTTTCTCTACTTTGGCTTTAATAATGCGAACTGGATCCACGGGTCGATCATTCTTATCCGTTTCTACCATACCAATACGTTTCACCACTTCCATGCCTGTATAAATACGTCCAAAAATTGTGTGCTTGTTGTCCAGCCACTGTGTGGGAGCCAACGTGATAAAGAACTGTGAGCCATTTGTGTCTGGGCCGGAGTTCGCCATTGACAGTATGCCGGCACCGGTGTGCTTAAGGTCACTGTGCAGCTCGTCCGCGAATTCTCCGCCATAAACCGAGGTGCCGCCGCGTCCAGTCCCCGTTGGGTCGCCACCTTGTATCATAAAATCGCGAATAATGCGATGAAACACGACATTGTTATAATACCCGCGTCGTGACAGCTCCGCGAAGTTATAGCACTGCAGTTATGAAAAATCATGAACTATTGAATAATTTATGTCAATGTACTTTACGTACTGTGTTTGGTGCGTGTTTCCAGTACAGTTCCACGGTTATTTCGCCCATGCTAAGAATTAGAATCAATGTATCATCAGCATTTGCCGGTTGTTAATAAATACTCACGTTGTTTCTAGTGTAACGAAAGGTGGCTGCCACGCCTTGTCTGGCACGCTACTTCCTGTAGGATTGGATAACATTATATACAATTGAAATATTTAATATTGCAGAAAGCTAATAAATTATTTTGCCGTAGTTCGCTTGTGTTTGTGGCGGCAAGCTGATAAGTCATCGATAACGACTGTTTAAAATGTATTAATCGATAATAGTTTTGGGGATTGCGAACTGAATTCCGTTAATTATGAAAATAATTATTATTATGATGATTGCTAATAATCTACTAATCTTAAAACAGACATTCACAAAAATTTGTTAGTTTATTTTATTACATTTAGCCCAGGCAATCTTTAATAAATAGTATAACGAAATGCCATTGGCAGTATATTATATTAATCAAAATAAATTTAAGTAAATATTCTCAGAACATAATTTTATTAATAAAAATAGATGTGGCACCTTCTGATTGTTTGAACCGAGAACTAGACATTATGCAAATTTCTTTTACAATTTGGGGGTCAACACTTTTTTATCCAGAAATAAAGTAAAATCACTTATTTGTAAGGTCAACGCTATGAAAAATGATGAAGCTGACGCTAAAGTGTCGCAATTCTCTCTAGGTATAAAACACGCCATCTGATTAGCTAAACTAAACTCATATATACATACATGTGGATTTTGTGCTCTGCCCGGAACCTAAATTGCCCCACAATTGACAATTGAGTAAAATTGGATTGAATCACAGAGCCGCCGACTAGCGCCCACAGCTGCTGGTAGCAATGGAGCCCAGTGATTCAGTGAATCACAGAAAAACATATGAAATCGTTGCGCGGCTTAGTCCACATTGTCACTGCGGAAGATCAGACGTCTGGTCTGATTCAGGAACTCCAGCTGCAAAATGGATAACATTGAAAACATTCTGAGAGACCTGCAGCGATTCGCATGGCCCGACTATGTAGCCTTCGTGGCGATGTTTCTGCTATGCATTGGCATTGGCATTTACTTTGGTTTCATGAAGAAATCCATGTCCGAGGATGACTATATGCTAGGTGGCCGCAAAATGCTGGTGGTGCCCATTGCCTTCTCCCTGGTGGCCAGCTTTATCTCTGGAATCACATTACTAGGACTGCCCACAGAGGTGTACTCGTACGGTATACAGTATCTATATGTATCCTTCGGAGTCATTGGCATGGGCATTGTGATGGGTGTCTTCTATTTGCCCGTTTTCCATGATCTGAATATTACGTCCACCTATGAGGTAAGCAGTAACATCTATAAAACATATCAGATTGAGAATATTAGTGAAAATTACGGGCGCCTCTTTGTGTTTTATTAAATTAAAAACAATGCTGTATCCGGCTTTATAAAGTACTTAAAATCCACTCATTTCATTCTCTGTCTGGGGGCATTAATCTACTATATTGCTCTCTTAGATAACGTATGCGTGTACCATTACTTTATCACGATTAATCACTTAAAAATAATACAATAATAAAACTAAATTTTACTTAAATGATCTTTTCTTATAGTACTTGGAGGTACGTTTCGATCGTCGTCTTCGTTTATTTGGTTCAATTATGTTCGCAATTATGAATGTGAGTATCCATGATAAAGCTCCACAATCCAAGTCAAGCCTTATCACAATTATTTTGTAGGTAGCCTATCTTCCCATTGTGATCTATGTGCCGGCACTAGCATTCAATCAGGTAACCGGAATAGGTGTTCACACCATTACGCCGATTGTCTGCATCATTTGTGTGTTCTACACCAGCATGGGTGGCCTGAAGGCTGTTGTCTGGACGGATGTGGTGCAGGCGGTGTCCATGTTGGGCGCCCTTGCTCTCGTTGCCATAAAAGGAAGTATGGACATTGGTGGAGCTAGTGTGGTAGTGGAACGCGCTTGGAACTCAAACAGACTGGAGCCTCCAGAGTGAGTTGAGTTGGGGCTCGCTAAAAGTATTCTAGCTAAATACCATATCTTTTGTAGTCTCAGCATTGATCCCACAGTGCGTCATACATTTTGGTGCTTATTTCTGGGAGGCATTGTATACTGGACGCAGACCAATGCCGTCTCCCAGAACATGATTCAGCGTTATCTATCCCTGCCCACCTTAGCGGATGCTCGCAAGGCTCTGGTCATCTTTTGTGTTGGCGTCTTGATCCTGATGGCCTTGTGTGGCTACAATGGACTGCTCATTTATGCGACATATCAGAACTGTGATCCACTTACTACCAAGGCACGTAAATGCTTTCCACATTTCTCTCTCTCTCTCCCTCTTTTGTTTACTATCCCACTTAATTCCATCCACAGCTGGCGAAGGCACGTGATCAGCTTCTGCCTCTCTTTGTGATGGACACGCTGGGAGAGTTGCCTGGAATGACGGGTCTATTTATTGCAGGCGTCTTTAGTGCTGCTCTCAGTTCGCTTTCCACCTGCCTGAACTCCATGTCTGCCGTTGTCCTGGAGGACTTTGTTAAACCCTATGTAAAGAAACCGTTATCGAGTCGGGCCACCAACTGGGTCATGCGTATGGTGGTCGTAGGCATTGGAGCGCTTTGTGTAGCCTTGGTCTATGTGGTTGAGCATATGGGCACTGTGCTGCAGCTGACAATGAGCCTGGAGTCGATAACAAATGGACCTCTATTTGGCATCTTTACTATTGGCATATTCATGCCGTGGATCAGTGGAAATGTGTGTTACAGTGTTTTTAATTAATTTACTCCTTGTAGTACGAGTTTTACTCTTACAGAGCGCTATTCTCGGTGGCTGCGTCGGAGTCGTAGTCATGTCTTGGGTCAGTCTGAATGCGCAGTGGGCCATCGCATCTGGCGCCATTCGTTATCAAACCAAACCGCTAAACGTTGATCAATGCAGCTACAGCTTCAATGCAGCTGCTCTGGTTTCCAGCGCTGCCAATGCTACCCATCTTCATGGACCCTCAGCGGAGTAAGTGCACCCTTTACACCGTTTGCCACTGTACTTCTCTACTGATATGACTGTTATATTGCAGGGATATATTTCCTCTGTATAGAATATCATACATGTGGTACACGACCTTAGGCGCCTCGGTTACCATAATCGTTGCACTGTTCAGCACTTTGTTCTTCAGCACTAACGTTCCAAATAAAGTTGATCCGGTATTGCTTACGCCTTGTATTCGAAGGTTCTTCAAGCCTGACTCACACGAGCCAAAGGTAATTAAATGTAATCCACAAACAACAGCAATTAATTTCCAAAGATTTATAAATTGTAGATCGAAGTTCCACTTCAACACAAACTGCGCAGCGATGAGGTGGCTCTTTAGTTAATTCTATTTCCACAAACAAATATGGAATATATACATTATATATACAGAGATAAGTGGAAATATATGCTTAAACAAATCAGATCTACGTCTTTTATATATGGTTGTCGGTATGGCATTACATTTTTGATGTAGACGCAGTTCGTAAATATACGCTAAAAATATAGATTTTATTTAATTGAATGTGCTTTGTAACAAATATTAAATAGGATTAACACAATGAGCTGAAAAACATATGCTATAGATTTCATAAAGTCTGTACTGAAGACCGTAAATTTAAATTACTTTTGCTGTGCCTTGGCCAGCAGAACAAGGCGTTCGGATTCGTTGAGATGTTCGTAGAATGTGGGAAAATGTTCGTTTTGAGTGAAGTTTGTGAAAAACTTTTGTAAATTTTCGCCAATGTCGCCTGTGTAGTTGCATTCCTTGAGCAGACCCTGCAGCACTTGCTCGTCTTCGGCATTGTCCTCGTCGAAATCGAAACACAAGTCGGAAATGTAGCGTGGCTTGCTGGCATTGCCAGGAGCATCATCCTCCTCGGTTACTTCATCCTCAGAGTCTGTAAGCGGCGCATCTGTTTTGCCCTCTTGAAAGTGCTGATATTCGGATATGAGAACTTTAAAGATCTTTACAAGTGCGGGAATCGTAACCCATTTTTGATAGGACGACGCAACTGAGCGTGTGCGTATGCGATCGCCGCTCGGCTCCTCCACTAGCTCCTTGTATGTTATGGATGTCAGACGGTTGTCCTGGGTGGCCACGCCATATTCAAAGAGCTTGCAAAGGGCCATCGTGGTAACCTGAGAATAATAGAAATATTATTAAACTCTATTTAAATGCTTTCACGATTATTTGTGTACGCACCTTTCGCTCGTATGCACCGAAGAAGGAGTTTTGACGCGACAGCCAATTGGTGAGAACGAACTGCAATGCGGGCTCGCCATTGGGTCCGGGAACCGTAGACAAAAAGTTAAGCACCGCATCCATTTGGGTAAGAAACAGATGAGCGAATATCAATACCAAATTCATAATGACCTTGAGACACTCGAGGTTCTGCATCTTGCTAATGACGGCCTTTAGCAGCATGTCCACAGTTTGGCCCAGCATGCTGCCCATTTTTGTGATTATGGTGATAATCAGTCGACCGATTTGGCCACCGGCGGTCATCTCGGCGTTCATGGGATTTAGCAAAACTGTCGCCACCTGCATCACATAATTGACACCCTCGCCATTCTTGTAGTTACAAATTTGCTCTGGCGAAACATTGATAAAGCTACGAAGGCACTCTCCGCCGGCGACCATTACGGTGTGATCGTCCGTATGCAGCACACAGTTTACCATGGCGGGAAATGCAGATTCCAGCAGAGCAGTGGGCAGCGGCGGCTCCGTGTACTTGACAATAGTATTGAGCACATCCAAGGCAATATCCTGCTTCTCGCCGCATTGTTCACCTTGCAATGTCAATATGCTAACAATGGTTGGTATGAATTTCTCTTGCAGTGGTCCCAGGCACTGTTTGTGCTGGCACAGCGCCTTGATCAGATCTTGTACATTTTCTAAAACGAACGGATCCTCTGCATACTTAAGGAATGCTGCAATGGTCAGAGGTGTAATTTTTGGATGCGCCGCATATGCAAAGTCCGCATCAAACTTGACCATCATCGTGAGAGCTTCCATTATGAGCGCCAGCACAGTGGCCTTGCAGCCAGGCACCAGCGTCATGATGCCTTCCAGAAAACCAGGAAGTTTCGAGACGAGCAGTGTGCGTTTCTCGCCCTCGACATTTTCATTGGCTTGCAAGAAGCCGTGTAAGGCCCGAACAGCGCTGATGCGTAGAATGTGTGACTTGTCCGGTGACAAACTGCACAGCGTTACGTCTAAAATTTCGACTATCATCTGCGGATTGTACAAATCCGACTTGGAGTACGTGCTGAGCGTCCAGAGCGCGCGGCCGACCAGATGAGGCGATTCCTGATATACTAACAAATTTCGCACGATCGTCAGATAGTTAAGCAAATCAAATTTGGAATCGCCCTCGAGTATTATGTCGCGAAAACTGTGAACAGCATCCATGCAAGCTTCATGAATCTTCCACCAATTTGGATTGTTGGCCTCCTTCTCCGCCTCCGCTACGCTAAAATGCCGGCCAAGTGCTTCCTGCAGCGGCTGAATGGCTTTCACTCCGAACTCGTCATTAATGGCCTGGAATATTGAATATTGAATAGATAATGAAAATAGATTAGTTATCAAATAAAGAGTCAACAATCAGAATGTTTATAGTATTATATATATACACAGACACATTGTAGACAGTATTTATTACATACATACATTCTAATATTCAAACTATTCTTATACCCTTAAGCCTGAAAATGGAAAATCTGGGTATACTATTAGTATTTCTTGAAAGTATTTCCTTCAAGTATTCTCTCTAACTAACTAACTATTTTCTCTAAGAGTTTATTATAGGTGTTTCCTCTAAGTCTTTAATGCTTAGCTGAACGATCATATTATCACATCACATCACTTCACTTCACCTCCTTTCACTTCATTTCACTTTACTTCACTGAACCACTGACCCCCACCAGGCCTGGGCGACTGAAGAAATGCTGCAGCTGCTGCCAATTATATATGGAGACTTTCACACACTTAGTTGCGCTCGAATGGTGAGCATGGAGCTTTAAGTGAGCAATGGGAATTCTCTCTGCTGCTACGAGCACTCTAGCTTCGTTTTACTAAATACAAATACTAAATGAATACTGCTGCACACATATGGAAAACTTAAATGATCTTCACTCCTTATAGACAAAGAGACAGATATACAGTCATATAGACAAATAAACACACATAGTTAAATCGGATAACCTCCTTACGCTAAATATATGTATATGCTGTAAATTAATATTTATAATTACTATATGGCATAGACAGCAGTCTTTTGTGCTCTATAGTTCTCTTGAGGACTACAACTTCGGCATAGTCTGTCTCACTTTCAAGCTATTCCATCTCATACTCATACACTCTGAACCGATTGTAATGAGAGTAACGGTTTTGTATACTGATCTCATTTGAAAAAGCGACTCACCAGCAGAACATCACGACCACACATGCGTACAGTTAGCTCGACTCCACCATCGTCTTCGTCGTCTACAAATTTCTCTGGATCCTCTTGCCAGTCCTCAAGCTGCTCCTCACCGAGTTGGATATACACGATAGTTATATAAATTAAATCCGCAAGAACATTCTTAATATTGCCACGCAATTTGCCGCAGGTGACAATGCAGTTAATGAACTCGAGAATTTGTATTATCAGCGTTTGGAAATTGGTCTGCTCATCTTCTTCTTCATATTCGCTAGTTGCCAAGGGATTCGCTTCCGTCTGATTGACAGATACCTTTACATAGGTTTCAGCTATCTGTGTAAGCAACTGCCAAATAATTGGCAAGATGCGATCCATAAACGGATTTATATACTTCGGCATATCAGTCACCAGATAAGTGAACACTGCGAATGAGCAATTGATATAATATAAATAATAAAATATTATTTGTTTAAAGATAAAATACCTTTTATGATTTCGGAGCGCAACAGAAAGCTAGATCCAGCCCCGCAATTCATGCTGAGATAGTGCACAAGCTTGTCCATAAAGTTGGACAGAATGGAGCTCATCATGGAGCTCTGCTCTTGCTTGTCCGTTATGAGCGCTGAGATGGACGTGAATAGTTGCTTCAACGTTCGTATCGCAGAAACTCGCGTTTTAATTGAATAGTTTTGTTCCGAGTCGAATATGCGATATACTTCAGGTATAACCACAGGACCAAGCTCCTTGATTTGATCTACATCGTAGGTAAAGTCTTGCAATACTTGCATAGCACCATGTATGGAATCCTCGTTGCCACCCAAACATTTGACTATAATGTCAAAGAGCTCTGACCAACAATGTGGATAGTCTGTTGCCGCAATTGTGGATATCGTGTGAGCCACCGATGAGCGGATTTTAGAGTTGGGATCGTACAGGCCATTGGGCAATATGTTACGAATTGTGCGCTTAGCCTGCTCGGTAGCCATATGTCCACCTGCTTTGTCCGTCTCATCCAGATCCGTCCAATGGTTTTCAACATACCGGGTCAGCATTATAATCGCTATTTGACGCAATGGTAGCTCATGAGATTGGTTCATAATTATCTCCGACAAGTAGACTCCATACCCTGAAATTCAAAGCTGTTAGCATCGGGAAGACAACGCCTTTATTTGCCCGCCAATTTGCATGCATACCTTCCGTGTATTGCAATTGCTTGTTACGCTTTTCCGCCTGCTGCAAAACAGTTGTGTCCGAGCTTAGCAGATTCTGCAGCTCCTCAATTATAGCTTGTTTTACAGAATCGCCGCCCCCGCGTACGGCACCGATGCCAGCTTCGGCGTTCGACATGACAAAATACCAAATTCAAATAAAGAGAAACTGCACAATGGCTTTGCTATGATATTAGCCGCAGCAGATCGCAGCACATGTGAGCTGCTGTAAGTTCTGTTCAAACTTATTTGGGCTATTTTACAGCACTGTCATTTTAAAGTTGAATATTGCGATGATTTTATAGTCACAGTGACATGCTAAATAAGGAAATATACTGTAACATTTTTTTGTTAATGCAGTTAAAAATTTAAATAACATATTTATGAATGGTAAGTTGTTATAATAATGTATTTAACTAATTAATTTCGCTAAAATTGTTGTAAATCTCTGCAGTATGCGATAGCACCAGTAACTATAAAATACTGGTACTATTAATTGTATTTGAGAAACGTTGTACAGCACTGTTTTTATAATAATCGCATTGCTCTGCTGCTGCCGCCTTTGACCTGCTGTAAATTTATTACAATTTATAAGAATAAATAGGAAATAAAAGCAATATGACTGGAATTATGGACACAATAGAAATGCCAAAATTACCGGAAAACCAAAAAACTTTCGCGGGGATACCAGAAGCAATATTTTTAGTAAGTATGAAGTTTCGGGTATCAGGCCGCTGCCGAGTCAATTGCAATTCTAACCTAGATAGCGTATAGCTCAAAAACAGCTGTAGA